AACTTATTTATTATAGCCCTAGATATTAATATTAAGGTAATTAATCTTTATATTAATAATTTTATTATTATAGTTAAAGGCCTCTCCTTTAATATTTATAAGTTTATATAGATCTTTCTTATATCTTTATATAAGTTAGTAATAGTTAATAACTCTAAGTAAAATATAACTACCTATTATACTATAGTTTAAAAGTATATATATATAATATCCTATGATTTAGATATCTAATATTATTTAGTTACTATAGCTTACTATTACTATATATAAGGTCCTTAGATCTTATTATATTATACTAGTTTATAGCCCTTTTATAAATAGTATACCTTATTTTTTACTTAGTCCTTATTTATTTTATTTAAGTATTTTTCTTTAATTTATTATTAATATCGTTTCTTTATATTTTCGTTATATAGTATTATATTAGGGCTTAAAAGACTAATTTCTTATAGCTAATTAAAGATTTCTTATTTCTTAATACTATATTATTTATATTAAACTACTTTATAGTTAATTATATACTATACTTTATAATTTTATTTATTTTTATATTAAAGGTTAAGTTTTTATTTAGTATCTTTTTATTTTATATATAGTATTTCTATATCGATACTTTCTTAGTTAAATATAGCTTATAGCCTTTATATATATTACTAATAATCTTTTAGTATACTATTATATTATTTATACTATACTTATACTTTTTTATATTTATAAACTCTATAGTTTAGGTATATATATTTATTATAATCTTCTTTATTATATTTAACTTATTATATAAGTCTATAAAAGATTAAGGGTTTAGATACTTTAAAGTAAGTAGCGTTATACTATTCCTTTATTTTAGTATATTTATAGATTTTATATATCTTTAAAAGATATCTTATTAATAAACCGTAATTATCGCGGTATTTAAGTAGTATACTAAAATTAGGTTTTAATAATATAACTTAGTTATTTAGGTAGCGTTAATCGATTTTCTAGTAGTTTAGTTCTATACTTAGGTAGGGTTTCGAAAGTACTTATCCCTTAAACCTAACTAAGAAAGCGTTATATTATACCTTTATCTAAAAGTATATTATATAATCTAAGTAAACGTATAATATCTATAAAATATACTTATAGTACTTATAAGTAAGTAGTATTTATAGATTATCTTTTAATTCTCCTTATAGTTACTATTCTTATTATAAAGCTATAAAGGTATTAACTATAGCGATAGCTATAGTATAGTCTCCTTTATATAGTACCGGTTAATACTAAATTAATATAGCTTATTAGTTTTCTATAAGAATTTAAAGTATTTATTAGGTTTTAATTTTAAGTATTTCTTTAAATTCTTTAAAGTATAAAGTATATTCTTTAATTATAGTATTTTCCTTTAATAGTAAGGGTAGTAGTATAAGTTTATTCTTATCTTCTATTTCTTTAAGTATTTCTTATTCCTTAGAGCTTATATCGTTGATACTTTATTATTCCTTCTTAGGTTATTATCTAAGTTTTATAAGTATAAGGGCTATATCTATATCTTCTTTATTATATTATTTATAGACCACCTATTATTATTATCGATTTTTATTTTATATATCTTCCTAGAATTATTTACTATTCTTCTTAATCTAGTCTTAATAGACTCCTTTAAGATAAGGGTATTTTAGTTTTATAAATTTAACTTATTTCTATATTTTAAGATCCCTTTATTATATTATTATAAGGGTTTTCCTTAATAGCTTTAAGAACTATCTAATACTATTCTTATCGCTTAAGTATACTATATATTCGTTATTATAGTATATAGTCTAACTAAGGAGTTTATACTTTAGTTCTTATTTATTAATAGCGTTTAAGTATTTCTTACCTTTTAAGGCTAGTACTTAATAGGTTTTCTTCTCCTTATAAGGTTATCTATATTTTTAAAGTAATATCTAAGTTTCTTATAATTAAAATACTTTCCTTTACTTTTCTATATTATATCTAGATCTATCTTACTTAGGTTAGTTATATAGGTATAGGTAATAGGAGTTTCCTACTTCTTTTTATAGTTAGCGCGTTAGTTAAAGTTATTCCTATAAAAAGGGTTTTAGTTTTCTCTTCTTTATTTCTTTTCTTAGCGTTACGTATACTATCTATTATCGATTCGTACTACTATAGTAATATAGTCCGAGAGGTTATTAGGTCGATTTTCCTTATAGAGCTTATCTTTAACTTCTTTTTTAAGCTTATTATAGAATCGTAATATAAGGGGTTCGTTATCCTAATTAAGCTTTAAGGTAACTTAATAGAACTTCGTAGTATAATCTAATACTAAGATCCTTTATTAAAGTTCTTAAAGTTTCTATTTAGCTTCTTATTCCTTATTAGTTATTTTAAATACCTTTATAATAGCTTCTTTAAATCCTTAGAAACTAGTAAAGACTTTATTTATCTTATTATCTTATTGCGCTAGTTAGTTATTAAGAAAGTCCCTTATAATAGGTCTAAACTAAGCGAGTACTATTCTAAATAAATAATTTCCTATATAAAGTACCTTTTTAACTAGGTCTAAGAGTTTAGTAAGGTAAAACCGGTAATAGGCCTTAAGTTAGGTATAAAAGTCTTAAAGTATACTATAAGTACCGTTAAATAGTCTTAGCTATTTTAATTTAACTATTTCTTTAAGGTCCCTAACTTATCTATTACCTCTTTTATTCCTAAGTAACTATACCTTATATCGAAGGGTAATAATCTTATATATTATATCCTACGGCGATATAGTAGCTCTAGAGTTAGTTAATCTAGCTTACTATATAGGCATATTAATAGTTACGATATTACTTAAAGTAACGCGGTATTATACTAAATAAGAGCTTTTAATATATAACGACCGGTATTATTCCTAAGGGATAAACCTATCGAGGGGTTTATATTAGTAGATATAATAGGGCGTGGTCTAAGCAATAATAAGTATATTATATTAGTAATAAGTTAGAGGTCGTAGACCGTAGACTATAACTAGGTAATTAGAATTAGAAATAAAATCGTAATAAAGATCTATATTAAAAGCTAGAGAGCTATCTATCTAAAGGAGTAAAAGTAGGTGGCTATATATACCTATAGAGACTATCCTTAGATCACGGTCCTAGCCGTGATCCCCTTCGTAGCTTACTATAGCTTACTTATAAGCTATGCTCCTAAGTAGTGATCTATCTATATAAGGCTTACTTAGCTTATATACGCTCTAGGTAAGCTAAGCCTAAGTGACTTCTCGTCCCGACCATTGTTTCGAGCCGCCTTATTACGTGAACGTGGCCGGCTCTCCTGCGGCCCGCTAACCGTGGTCGTAACATATGCCTAATAGACCTAATAGTTATGTATAAGGAAGCCTGCCTAACTAATATAACTCCCCTAGCCTAAGGACATTATATAGGCCTAACTTAGGTATAGGAATATCTTAATGCCCTCTTTTAGCTAGCTATATAGTGTCACTATACCTATATAAGCCCCTCCCTTATCCTAATAGATAGACCAAGACATGCATCACTGAATTCACCTTTCTGTGCCCCTATTTCTTCCACTGTGCTCTCAAGCCCCTGCTTGAGAGAAGGGAAAGTCGGCCCCAGGGTTGTGCCCGGGGAAGCCGGGACGGCTAGAGGGCAGCCTGAGGGGTGGTCTAAACTTGGGTCAGAGCCGGCGTAGCTGGTACCCGCTCCCTGTGTCGTTGGCTGGAATATTTCACGCCGAGGAGAATGGGGTGTAAGGAGAAAGTTTGCAATGGAAGGGGGGGTGGGAGAGGTGCTAGACGATGACGCCGGATTCTGGCCACTTGGTGCACCTCATATTGCCTTGTTGCTCTAGCCTATAGCATCGGCGAGATTTATCCTGCACGGCTGGATGAGAAGATACGTGTAAAGAGGCCGGGGAAGGCGAAATTGACAGGGAAGGATAGCTGCGACGGGAACCAGGTTGCCCTTGTCGGCACAATCTCCGGGAGTAAGAATTAGTACCTCAATGAGATATGCGTTACATTTGGGACAATAACTGGGCATAACGGTTGGAGTTGTTGGTTACCGTAGTGCATTGTCAATGACAGCAGTGCATCATTCCCGTGGGCCCGCTGAAAAGCAAAACCCTCTAACTGGAGGGTTACGGGGTCGTCCACCTCTCTGCCATCAAGGAGACGGACAATATCTTCACGGTCTCTGTCTCTTGCGTACGTATCTTCCTTGTATATGGGCTCAGCATTGAACGAGCCAGCTGCGAGAGACCGGAGAGACCGTTTATTCTTCCTATGCGGTCTGGCAAAGTCTGCGGCGAGTTGAAGACTGTTCCGCTCGATGCATGCTAAAAATCTTTTTGCCCCGTGCCTCAATAAGATCTGCACATTCTGCACAGAAATAGGCTCAAGTATGGTGCTCTTCACGTACGTTGTTCCATTATTTAACCACTTTGGGGAGCGCCGGCCCAAAGACAGCACCCCCCCCCCGGAACGATTCGAGAGCATTTTTCGGCGCTGGTTATGTTGTTGTGCGCGCATTTGTGACACTTTACATTGTTCGCTGGTTTGGGTGCGGCGGTGGCTGCCAGAAATGGCTTTCGTGTATCTTCGCGGTTATTATATAACTCTATCGTAGAACAGCAACTTGCCTGGGTTCGTATAGACACGCATTGCATAAGCAAGCTTCTGGTGACGACGATTGGACAACGTCGAGGAAAGCATATTGTCTCCTTGCGTTTCGAGCTCCATCTTAGCGACTAATTTCTCATATTGCCTCCTCTCATCCCACTTCTGACGTGTATCTTGGTCAACTGGAACCCCATTTTCATCGTAATTATTTGGCGCATCTAACTCTGGAGGAACAGCTTCGAGGAAAAGTGGTGGCTCTACCAGTTCCCAAGGCATAGTGCAAGCGCCTTCCCAGTCAATAACACCCTGTATGTGGTACTTGGAGTCAACGACAATGTTGCTGTGAAAGAAATCTGTGTGAGTAATAGGAAACGGCCCGTCATTGTGGGTGATCAAATCAGCAGCTGATGAGGCAAGCTGATTGGGGAATGCCTGGATAGACGTAAGGATTCTGGATCTCAAGGCGGCCGATGGGATCCTGTTGACTGCGTCAACGGACAAGGGGAAGCGGCTATGTCTGGCCCAGGCCTCGATAAAGTCGGTTGCTCTGCGAAAGGGTCCGCCAAGATGTGGAAAAGGACCAACGGTGTAGTCACCGGTTGAGTCTTGAATCACCATGCCAATTAATGGGAGACGAACCGATGTCATCTGAACCTAATGATAGATGAGCGTAGAGGACACGAAACAGAAGCACTCGGGTATACCTGAATCTTGGCTGCTGCGAGATAGAAGGGAGGGCGTCGGTGAAGGGGTATCTGTCCTTGGTGAACTTCGTAGCCGCCGTCACTGTCTGTAGCAACATTTCCTGAGACGACTTGCATAAGAATGAAAGCCGCGCTGGTCGGGTTGCGGGTGTCAACCTCATATGCATATACCGTGGGGACAGGAATGCTGGTTCGCCGACGGATGAGTGTCATGGTGTCGACCTCGCTCTGCAATATGAGCGCCGAATCTTGCGTGGTTGTGTGCATTCGAACGCGAGCAATCCAGGTAGTACCATCGTCAAACGCGAGAAGCCGGACAAGGTGATGAAGGCCGTTCTTGAGCTCTGGGAGCACTCGGCAAGGCACGCCCTGTCTGAGCGACGATGCGAGAAGACAAAGCTGATCCCAATTGGTACGAACAAGACATTCATGTACTGATCGCCCAATACAAGTATCCAATGGATATGAGCAGATTTTTCTCCAGGTCGTGTCTGACGGCATGATGGTTGGAAGTGGATAGAGTTGGAAACCAGGCGTGCAAATGCGAGAACACGACCACGTTTATTTTAGCTCCGCTGAACTTCCACGCAATGCTGACTAATGATCCTAACATCATGTGGCACGGATGGAGTTGACTTTTGTGTTCTTGTTGCGCGACACTATCGTATTGCGCCCAAATCTTCACACATCGTAAGGACAAGGTGAGAACATATTAGGAGATACATAGTAGTGCCTAAAACTCGCTATATCCGTTTAAAAGCCCCCTAGGATATCCTTGCCCAAACGAGAGACGGGCATCAAGAGCCCACTCACTTCTTCGTATCATTCGCGGGCCGGACCGCTCCACACTTTGGGCATTTTTCACCTCGTTTGATTCCAGTCTGTCCACAGCCAAAGGTGGAGCAAGTAGCGTATTCGCTTGCAGCCATGTTTGACGACTGATCTAGCTTCCAAGTATTCGTTAGTTAAGTTTAGCGAACGAAAGAGCTTTTAACTGACAGAATAGATTGCCTTCTGGCTTGCAAAAGAAACTTGCCGAAGATATAAAGACAAAAATTCGAGGGAGGCAAACAGATTAACTAAGGCACTTCTAGGTGGAGAAGTTTCGAGCGAAAAGTCGTCCCAGGTCATGGTTCTTTATACTTTACTTCCTCCAAAGAAATGAGCAAGGTCAGTGAGATGACAGGGCCTTCTCAATTCGCAACACGGCCACACTGAGATGCTCAGCTCATTGCACACTAAGTGGGAGGCATGCGAGTTTGTGGACGCCCTCCTCTAGATGTGACTCATCATCACAGCGGCAAGCTCGCCTCGTCGCGAGCCCAAGCAAGAGGGGTGTTATGATCAGCGGGGTTCAAATGACGGCTCGCAGCATCTGCCACGCTATGAAATGCCATGAGCATATATGCACTTAATAATAGTGCGCATGCACTTAAAAATGCCTTCGCTGCACTTAATGATATTGTAAATGCACTTAGTAGTGGTAAATGCACTTAACGATAGAGTCCTTTGCACTTAAAAATTGAAGCCAAAGCACTTAGCTAAAGTGCATCATACACTAGCCCAAAATAAGTATAGAGGGATATCACATGGATTATCGTAATGACCACCTGACTCATGCTCTTCACTTGACATGGATGCTCGCCTGATCTGTACTGCAGCCACCGCAGACATCTGCATCTCTATGGGTTCCGTTGATTTGCAGTGATCACCAACTATGTACTGTATCGTTCAGTCACTGGGAAGGAGGAACAGGCATCAAGACTAGCATCACAAAATATCATTTGACACCGAAGAGTTGGTGCACTAATTCCCGATTCCAGATCCGTGGCGCCACGTTGGGATCTCTCATCGAAGCGGGTTGCCGTTGGTCACCGCTACCATCTGCAAACATTCGCATGGCAAAATACTCTAGCCAGGCAAATGGTATTTCAAGGACTTTGAAGTCTTCTTCCCGCACTCGGCGCAAATTTGACCAGTGCTGGTAATTCCGTCGTTGCAGTTGCCACACCCTGAGGAAGACATATTCACTATATTCATCTTAGATACCTTCTTCTTCAAAGTTCAGGAAAAACTTACCTCGAGACTGCGTTTAAGACGGATTGATGAGACCAAAATCTAGATTCTGGTGCGGATGTGAAACTTTATAAGGACGGTGGTCTAGCGGCATCTGCTTTATGCAATACGAAGCTTATGCATAAAACGGGTTTCAACCTGACCATCTTCGCCTGAATGCCCCTCACGGGTTGGACATGGACATTGGAAGCGTCGGCACAGTGATCAGGTTATGGCTCCGCCAGGCTTTGAAGATGTCTCGCCGTTTGAAGGGTCGCAGATAGCTGCTTCTGTGACCTCGGACCAAGCTATGGAGTTCTTCGAAACGTACGGCATATTTTACCAGGAGCGCGCAGAGATTGGCGAGCTTGCGAAAATGACACGCGGAGCGCAAATTACTCCTAGCAGTCTAACACCATTCCGCACCAGCATATCAAATGACCCGGTATGCATGAAAATCTCCTGTGATACGAGGCTATTACTCAAATGTCTTCTAGCGCCTTAGTGCTATATTACAGCCATTCATCGAACGCGACCCTATTTTGGCGTTCACCTTGGGACCCGACGATGGGAGCTTTTACTCGTTGTCAAAAGACGAAGCAGAAGACGATCAACGCCATTTGATTGTGGTATATATGTGGCGGCCGAAGGCGATACTGGAGTTCTCTCATGGCTCCCATATCGGTCCCACAAAAGGGTCACAGCATCAAATGGACTGGTCCACAGACCATATAAACACCTCTCCGAAACCAAGGGCCTTAGGGACGTTAAGATAGATCTTGAACATGGTGGAATGTAAGTGTGCATACCTCTAAAGCGAATAGATTAGGTTCTCACGGAGTCTAGATTAGTGGTTTATCGTCGCCTTACGTTTTAAGTCAGGTCGAGTTTTATAGTCGGCTTTATATGCGAAAAGTCGGAATAATAGCGGCCTACTCCGCTCTAGTCGTATTAAAGTATTAGATATTCCTATAGACTAAAGTATTATTTATAGAGTCGTATATCTATAGGTTTAGCGATACGTTCTTATAAAATTAGCTACCCTAGGCTATAGCTCTTACGATATTTAATAATAAATAATCGTCTAGTAAATTCCTAGGGATTTACTCTATATTTAAATATAACCTATTCTATAGTAATAGATTATATATAATAAGCTAGAGGGATAATACTTCGCTAAAGTATATATCTTAAAACGGATCTAAGCTAGTAAGAGGTAAATAAGAGCTAGTAATATATTATATTAAGCTTTTATTTATATTAAGAATATTTAGAATCGCTAGAAGATATAAAGAAGTACCTTTAGTATTATTAGGGATCTATTATAAGGACTTATTACTTATAACTAAACCCTTCTTATCTTTATACTTACTCTTCTAGACCTATTTTAAGCTAAGCTTAGTTTCTATATCTATTTTAATTACTATAGACTATTTAGCGATAGAAGTACTATACTAATATTTAAACGTTAAGATAGATCTTAAATATAGTAGAATATAAGTATATATACCTCTAAAGCGAATAGATTAGGTTCTTATAGAGTCTAGATTAGTAGTTTATCGTCGCCTTACGTTTTAAGTTAGGTTAAGTTTTATAGTCGGCTTTATATATAAAAAGTTAGAATAATAGCGGCCTACTCCGCTCTAGTCGTATTAAAGTATTAGATATTCCTATAGACTAAAGTATTATTTATAGAGTCGTATATTTATAGGTTTAGCGATACGTTCTTATAGAATCGGCTACCTTAGGCTATAGCTCTTACGATATTTAATAATAGATAATCGTCTAGCGAATTCCTAGGGATTTACTTTATATTTAAATATAACCTATTCTATAGTAATAGATTATATATAATAGGCTAGAGGGATAATACTTCGCTAAAGTATATATCTTAAAACGGATCTAAGCTAGCAGGAGGCAAATAAGAGCTAGCAACGTATTATATCGAGCTTTCGTTTATATTAAGAATATTCAGAATCGCCGGAAGACACGAGGAAGCACCTCTAGCATTATTAGGGATCTATTATAAGGACTTATTGCTCGTAACTAGACCCTTCTTATCTTTATACCTACTCTTCCGGACCCGTTTTAAGCCGAGCCTGGTTTCTATGTCTATTTTGATCGCCGTAGACTGTTTGGCGATGGAAGTACCGCACTGATGTTTCGTGAATGAAGTGGCATTTAGAAACTGTCGGGCACAGTTATGGCAGGTTACTGATGAGTCGTAATCTGTGGAGGTATATTTAGGTAAGCCAGTGTGCCAGAAAGTTGTGCAAAGCCGTACGTTTAATAGAATGTCTCACGAGATCCTGCTTCCGACTGAACCCTTTATTACAATGTAGACAGTACACTCTCCTCTTATGCACCCTTAAGGCATCCGTATCGTCGTCGCAATGTGAGGTTTCAAGAGAGTCGACGTTTTTCGTAGAATTGCTGAGAGCTCTTGGTTCTTGAAGCTTCTCGTGTCCTGCAGATGAGATCGTGGATTCTAGCCTCTTGACCAGCGCAAGCATTTGTGTCTGCAGAATCTTTCAGCCTAACAGTATGGGTCTCGGCGATAGTTTGCATCGTACCTGGTGTAACTGAACATGCAGCAGTATGTCTTCTGAGGAGGTGAGCTCTCTAGAGCACACATCGCAATCCATGGTGTGATTGTGTGAGAGCATCGTAGTCAACAACAGCATGAGCCTCGTCGTCCCCGCTCAAAACGCCCGCGGACCGGAAAATCGATGCTTCCGGAAACTGCGGGAGTGACTTGAGGCGGTTTCTCATTGCACGACAGGCGTTACATTAAGTGATTGCACTTAAGTAAGTGCTTTGCACCTTGCAAAGTGTCAAAGTTCGTCCACATCGTATCGTCCTTACCCCCCTTTTGCTCCACCAAATGAGACAAACCTCATCAAAAAATCCCATTTTTTGAACTGCTGTGCTGAGAGCCAAGGCATCTCAGGGGTCGTTGTCTTTTGTGTCGTTTCTCCGACAGACACACACAATACTTTATGGCATCATTACCATTAGCAGCAAGTGTTGACCTTGAACTAGGAATAGAACTATGCTATAGGAGTCCCGGCTCTTCGCACAGATTACAAACGCGGGGCCGACCGGCGGCCGGCACGAAGAAATAGCAACGGTGTCTCACAGCACCCAACCAGCGGATC